GAGTACTAACACTTTCTGCCCAACCTGGAAGACTCGCTGTCGGGCACCCCGATCGTACCACCTCTTCTGTCTCCCCTGAGCCACCTGGAGATTCTCCCTTACCATTAGGGACAGTTTCTCCATGCGGTCCCGGAGTTCCAGAACATACGGTACTATGGGGGTCCCTACCTGCTCTGTCTCCCCCTCCCAGTGGCCTCTAATGAGATCTAGGGGTCCGCGGACCCTTCTCCCATATAGCAACTCAAAGGGGGAGAACCCAGTAGATTCCTGAGGCACCTCTCTGTAGCAAACAACAGATGAGGCAGGAATCGCTCCCAGTCTCTGCAAGTGTCAGAAAAGGTCCTCAGCATCTTTTTGAGGGTGCCATTAAATCGCTCACAGAGACCGTTAGTCTGTGGATGGTAAGCAGTTAGGTGGAACACGTGACCGCTTTCCAGTAACAGCGGTCGGCTGATGGTAAGCAGCGGTTTAATACCGCACACCTTCCACAGTTGCTGGGTGAGCACAGCGGTGAATTGGGTTCCCTGGACAGAGAGAATCTCCTGAGGGAACCCGACTCTGGTGAAAATCCTAACCAGGGTATCAGCAACTGTCTCTGCCTCTATATTAGACAGCGCTACTGCCTCTGGATAGCGAGTGGCATAATCCACCACGGTGAGAATATATTTCTTACCGGATGGACTAGCCCTAGCCAGTGGACCCACAATGTCAACGGCTATGCGGGCAAAGGGCTCCCCAATGATAGGCATAGACATAAGCCTAGCTCTTGGGTGGTCCCCCCGCTTTCCTATCCGTTGACATGTGTCACACGTACTGCAGTATGTCCGAACAGCCTGATTAAAGTTTGGCCAAAAAAAGTTCTGCATGATCCTATAGGCTGTGCGGCGGGAACCTAGATGTCCAGCTAGGGGAACATCATGCCCTATCCGCAGTATCTCCTGCCGGTATTTTGCGGGCACCACCAGCTGTCGATTCGGCGGAGGGGCAACACTCTTCGGGGAAAGCTTGGGGATCCTATACAACCTGTCCCCCACCCACTCATACCGTTCCCCATCTAATCCTTCCTCTCCAGTATCTGCTCTGTCCCTATACTTCTGGAGGGTCAAATCTGCCTGAGTTTCCCTCCCAAACTCCTCTGGGGAATCCCAGTTAACAAATGTCGGTTCTAGGGTACCAGTCGGAGACTCGGTTCTTACCTGGGTCTCAGCAGCAGGTGGGCTGGTTCCAGCAGCACGGGTCTGGGCACGGGTAGTCACTGGGTTGATAGCGGCAGGTCCCATTGGAGCATAAGCGGACACCAAAGGGGCCAAGTCATTAGCAAGCAAAACATCGGCCGGTAAGTCTTTCATGACCCCCACATTCACGTGTCCAGAGCCCACCCCCCAATCCAAGTGAACCCGGGCAACCGGTAAACGGAACACTGCACCTCCCGCCACCCTCACTGCCACAGTATCTCCAGTGTGCTGGTGTTCGGAAACAAGGTTCTTTTGGAGCAAAGTCATAGTGGCTCCGGTGTCTCTCAGACCAGTTACTGCTTTGCCATTTAGTTTAACGGTCTGTCTGTGCTGTTGACGGTTATCCTGCTGTGCTGCTTGGACCGGATCCGCCTCATGTAGTATACCCCAAAATTCCTCCTGCTCCAGACAGTGAGCGGAAGGTTGAGGTGGTTGCTGATTCCCGCCGGCTGGTCTTCTCCACGACTGGGCTTGGCTAGAATTGTTCAATGGGCACTCGGTCGCTTGTGCCCCAACTGCTTACACCCATAGCAACGGATAGGCTGTGAGTAATCCCGGGCGTTGAACCGGGCTGGCTGAACATAATTGTTTGCTGTTGGCATGGTGGGGGTGCGTTGTGCTGGGTGTTGATACACTGCAGAGGTTGGAGGGGCTGCTGGTTTGTACTCCACTCGGGTAGGGACCTTGGCTGCTGTCTGGTCCAGTTTCCTGGCATCAGTGTACTCATCAGCCAGACGAGCAGCTTCTGGTAAGGTAGCGGGTTTGCGGTCCCTAACCCACTCTCTGACTCCTGCAGGTAAGCGGTCAAAACAGTGCTCCAACAAAAATACTTGCAGCACTTCTTCCCCAGTTACCGCTTGGCACCCTGCCATCCAGTGGGCTGCGGTGCGGTGTACTCGGCATGCCCACTCCACATAAGAATCACCAGCCTGCTTGTTAGTGTCCCGGAATCGCCGCCGGTATGCCTCAGGGGTCACAGCGTATCTGGCCAAAAGGGCATCTTTCACTGCCCTGTAGCTGGTAAGTTCCTCCTCTGGGATGGCCCGAAACGCCTCACTGGCCCGGCCGGATAACTTCCCAGAGAGGATGGGGACCCATTCTCCTGCGGGTACCTGGTGTAAGGCACATTGCCTTTCAAAATCAGCCAGGAACCCATCAATTTCTCCTTCGGCTTCCACAAAGCAAACGGTACTTTTCTCCTTCCATTATTATTATAAGGTACCTCAGCTGCTGCAGTGCCTCTTCCTTGAAGCGCCTGTTGTGCTGCTACTGCTGCTTGCACTTGCACCACAATATCTGCTGCAGGGTTGGGGCCAAAATGTGCCAGCCTGATCTGAACTGCCCGGTTAAACTGTATCTCCTCGGGTGTTAACTCCAGTATGCCAGGCACCTCAGCTCTTCCCGTTCCCTGTGCTGCATCCATTTCCAACAGTATAGAAATAATCTCTCTTTTCTTGAGATTACTCGCTGATCGTCCTCTGCGTTCTAATATACCTTTAAGGGTAGCACGCCTTAACTCTTCATACTGCATTTCCAACCTGGGATGTGTAGCTGGCCTTCTGGGCTGTAGGATTCATCCCGTCGCTTGCCACCAATTGTTACGACACGTACCGTCGAGTAGATGAAGCCGCCATTTAGTCAATAATCCCCTTCTCCAGAAATGCAGTTTAAATCCAGCCGACCGCCAAACTCCCGAACGAAGTCCACGAACACGGCAACTCCCGATCAGCCAAACAGTCGAACGCCTTCCACAGCTAAAAATAACGAAAGCGCTGTCCCAGTAATAATTCCCCCCACAAACGAGACCAAGCTCCGTCTTGAGGGTTAAATGAAGATCTGTTTAATGGGGGCTACCTGCCCGGTATTTATGCAGGTCTCCACAAGGTGGACACTCCCCGAGGGGACCTTGTGGAAGACTGTAAAACATATTGGACAGTAGCCAATCGCAGTGGCTTCAATAATAGCCCTTCCCATCTTGCCCATAATTCCGTCTTCTCTACCTCGGCGATAATTAGGAAGAAACCTAATTATCTCCCAAGGTAGAGACAGTCGCCATTTTAACTTACAGTAATAAAAATACATTAAAATACATAATTGCAGAAATATCGAATACATCTAGTTCGTGTAACGTATCCCCAGACAGCCTAGATCTGAGTGCATGTTTTCACCGAATAGCGCTCAGATCTGATGTATCTAGTCGAATCGCCATGGAGTCAAAGTTTTTCACCAGTCCTTCGGTATACGAATGACTCCATGGGATGGCTGGCTGGGTGAAAGTCCATACGAATGAAATAAAAACTCCCGAACGACCGACGTTCGCATGCCTTGTCGAAATGGAAGGTAGGCAACAGCTTCCAGCGGTGTTCGGTAGTTTAAGTGTCCGTTTTTAGTTCCATACAGTTTGTACCGAACACCGCTATGTGTTCGTATGTCCCAAAATGGCCGCTGCCTCGTGGTCGACATGCGAACGACGACCACCCGTACGAATGGAATGGAGAGGTGTCTGCGGTTAACCACAACGTTCTAATTGGGGCCAAGAGGTTAACCAGCAGCACACTCCTCTCCTGGGTGGTCGTTCGTTCGGTAGTTTCAATCGGTAGTTTGCAAATTACACGAACGGGGGTATATGAACAGGCAATTCCGCGAACAAAGGGAAACAGACGAACCAGCAATACAGATGAATCTGTCACAACCACAACGTTCTAATTGGGATCAATAGGTTAACCAGCAGCACACTTCTCTCCTGGGTGGCCATCCGTTCGGTAGTTTTGTTCGGGGAAAACGGTCATTCGTATGGCTGGGCTATAGAAAACAGCCATTTACACGAACGGGCAGAAACAGACGAATGCACCGCAATAACCAGACAGATGGTTCTGTCACAGTTTCACTGTGGAAACCAAGCTGTATTCACTCATGTCATGCTCTCAAAAATAACCTTGACCCCATGAGGTCTAACCTCATTGTAATCCAGAAGAAATGCACAACACCTGGCAGCATGGTTTGACAAGCTGGAATTCCCATTTGCTAGCCATGTTGTTTGCCAAACTGGAATTCCTGTTTACTGGTCTCATTGCTTGTAAATCTCATGCTTTCAGCCTATGTCTGAATGGTTTCTTAATTTCCTTAATTTTCCATGTTGATACCCCATCTATTTCCATTGTAAAAGCTTTAGAAAATGCTGACTGTACATTAAGCAATTACAATTTATTAAGAAAAAATAATATAGAAACCCCAGCATTCATTGTATAAAATTAATCACTTTCACCCATTGTATCAGTAAATGAACTGACCTGGGTCATTGATGGCTTTTTCCAGACATCGCACTTTCTCCTCTATTTGTGTAATGTTCCATGGGGATTCCTCAGATGTTCTCTGCTCCTCAGAAGACAGTCCAGCTACTGAAAACACAGGTTATTTGGAATCTATATTAGCATAACCTCATGGAGAAAATGTATCACATGAAACAGAAATTAACTTAAAGCTCAGTAGACAAATAAGGTAATGTGGCACTTTAAATATTCCATCTAGACACAAGGTGTTCTTCAATTCTGGAATTCTTTGGGCCTCATCAGTGAGGTGTAACTGATATCTCTCCTTATCAGGCTTTACCATTACCATTGCAACAGGCTGTAGCAGTTATGGTGCTTGGAGAATCCCTTTAATATCTGGTGAGGAATAGTGCAGATATAGAGATATAGTTGAAGATGTATTTGTGATTAGTTTATAAAATGATGGTGTAATTAGTACATTCTGTTTTTGGGGAGATTACGTCCCAAGCAGGGATGGAGGACCCAGGGTAGGGTTAACATCATTACCGTATATTCCCAGGCATACAGAGACAGTCAGGAGAACGGCACAGGCTGCAATCAAGGTGAAGATCAGTCCTTTAACTCGCCCAGAAATGTGATCTATGTATATTTGTGTATAAATAAATGTATTAATACACTGAAAATATCAAAATATCAAACAATTTAAATGTTTTGTAATATTAAATCCTTTAAAAAGAAAATCAAACATTAATAAATTGAGGCTACAATTTGGTATTTAGTGAATACCTTAGTGGATTTCATTATTTATTTTATGGGCAGACTAGACTGATTGGGTCTTATCTGCCATCACATTCTATATATTTCTATTTGCCCATAATTGAGATGCCTTTATATTTACAGAAAATCCCAATAACATGCCCTACTGCCCTCACAGAAAGTAATTATTTACAGCGATTCGGGGAGAGTCTTCGAGATTTAATCCTGGTGGTTTCTTCCTGATGGTCTGCTAGATCAATGGAGACATTACTTTTTATTTTTGATAGCTCTGAAATGAAATTAAACATGTTAAAAGTTATATAAAGCAGAGTATTGACACATTAAACATTACATTATATATAAAGCACAGTACTGACACGTTACATGTTACATTATATATAAAGCACAGTACTGACACGTTACATGTTACATTATATATAAAGCACAGTACTGACATGTTACATTTTACATTATATATAAAGCACAGTAGTGACATGTTACATGTTACATTATATATAAAGCACAGTACTGACACGTTACACATTACATTATATATAAAGCACAGTACTGAAAAAGATGCAAACCATCTTTTTTGTACAGCTTATCTCCATTCCAAACAGAGCTACCATGAGAAATAAAGCCAAATCCTTGCTCCCGAAACCATTCACCAAGCCACAAATTAAAGTCCCTAATACGCATCCGCCTGTCGTTCTGAGTGTTATGCACAGGCAGAACTTCAGAGAATGACAGTGTGGAAGCAACCTGCCGTATATCATTGGCAAAAACACTAAAAACTTCCTTAACCTCTGAAACCTCATTGTAAGCCAAGTCATTTGTCCCTAGATGGACAAGTACATCCAATTCCCCTTCCTGCTTTGCTTGCTTAACAATATTACAGATACGTCTCCTGTCTCTGTGAGCAGTAGCTCCGGGAAGACACCTCACAAGACCATCATTGTCCATCTCCACACCTCTTATAATGGAATCCCCCAACAACAACTGCTTTCTATTAGGCCTCACCATAGTCTCCAAGCCGGTCTCCGCAACACCACTAGTCTCAGTGCCGCTCTCCACAACACCACTAGCCTCAGTGCCTCTCTCCACAACACCACTAGCCTCAGTGCCTCTCTCCACAACACCACTAGCCTCAGTGCCTCTCTCCACAATACCACTAGCCTCAGTGCCTCTCTCCACAATACCACTAGCCTCAGTGCCTCTCTCCACAACACCACTAGCCTCAGTGCCTCTCTCCACAACACCACTAGCCTCAGTGCCTCTCTCCACAACACCATTACACTCTGAAAGTGCAGAAAATGAATTATGTATAGCAACAGACTGTGAAATATGCCTTTTATCCACAACTCTAAGTCTACCAGATCCTGCAGTAATCCATCTGCCTTTCCTAGTATGTCTCTGCGGCAGTGGCTTTCCAGCAGTTCCAGTCTGAGTTTGTTCACCAGATAATATACAAATCTCAGACTTCAAAAATACAATCTCCTGCCGCAAGATAGAAAACTGTCTACAGATTAGACAACAACCAAACCTCCAAAAAGTGGAATGTGAAACAAATGCATAGCAACTATTACACTGAACTAAGTCTGCCATTCCAATTAGGAGAATAATTTAAATCTAACAAATCTTAACTTTGTATTTATCCTCCTGAATACCTCAGATTACCTCCAGTTTATCTCCAGAATATCTCCAACTACACACGTAGAAACAGCACTTAGAAGTAGCGACAAGCTAATGGAACCAGGCCTTATATAACTCTTAAAATCACCGCCCACTAGGAATGTTTAACACCTGGGTAGGCCTCTGCTTATTTGCAAACAATAGCTAATTAACCAGCAATCAATAGCAAGTAACTAGCTTAATCAAATCAAATGCCTTATAATTACTGTAACGGAGCTCCCTGTACTCCGACCGAGTACCCTCCGTTGACGGATGCTCCTAGCGCTTCCTGAGGACTCCAAGCACTGCAGCAGACACCACAACCACCGCAGACTCCGCAACTGCCGTATCTTGACCGGAGTCTCGCCGTCTTCCTTCCACCCTGGATCAGCTTCTGTCCACCAGGACTGTGTGGGAAAGAACTCTTCCTTCCACCCTGTATGAACCTCCAGCATCCAGGACTGTGTGGTGAAGACCCCTCCTCCAAGGAGGGCATGTCAGGATCAAGCTCTTAAAAGAGCTAAGTGACTCAAGCTCAGGGGAGCATGCAGAGCATAGCAATCCCCAGTGTGATTATAACAGGTCCCTCCAATAACGAGACAAGGCTATGTTTAGAGGAATCAAGAAGAACTGTCAAAACCTTTATTCCCTTGGGACCAGCCAATAGGGTCACCACAATAACATTGTTGTGAAAACTCAATAAAATCACAAACAGTCAAACCATATCAAGAAACACACAGTGACTTATCACAACACAATGGCATATTTTAAAGGTGTGGGGGAGACAATATTTAACAGTAAATATCTCACCTGCCTGCAGAATTAGCAATATGCAAATCTACCCGAATATGCAAATGAACCAGTCTTGCAATTCAGGTAGTGCATATTGCTGTTGCTACCAACAGAGGGCACTAGACCAGCTCCATAACCAAACCCACCTAGTTGGTAGCAAACCTCAGCAATACAAGAGAGCAGGCAATACATTACACAGTACACACACACACACTATAAACAATTACATTACACACACCCTGCACCTATAATGGGTACAGGGTGACTAAAACATAAGATAAATAAAGCAGCCTACATAAATAGTCTGTCTGAAGGTAGACTAGGGGCTTTAAAGCCAGATCCATGAAAGAGTCATAGTCACAGGGGAGGAGGCTGGCAAGTAGGCCTCTCCAGGACCAAGTGGCGAAGGGCACTTTGTCACAATTACCAACAGGAATTCAAACCTTGTGCAATCAGTAACCTTTTCCTACAGATGAATCTTACCTGTAACAGTAGAAAAGAAAGCTCTTAGCACAACTCTTAGACAGTTGAAGCTTCTGTAAAACTCTCCAGAATATCTCCAACTACACACTTAGAAACAGCACTTAGAAGTAGCACCAAGCTATATCGTTACACGTTACATTATATATAAAGCACAGTACTGACACGTTACACGTTACATTATATATAAAGCACAGTACTGACACGTTACACGTTACATTGTAAATAAAGCACAGTACTGACACGTTACATTATATATAAAGCACAGTACTGACACGTTACACTATATATAAAGCACAGTACAGACATGTTACACGTTACATTATATGTAAAGCACAATACTGACACGTTACATGTTACATTATATATAAAGCACAGTACTGACACATTACACATTACATTATTTAGAAAGCACAGTATTGACACGTTACATTATATATAAAGCACAGTAGTGACACGTTACACGTTACATTATATATAAAGCACAGTACAGACATGTTACACGTTACATTATATATATAGCACAGAACTGACATGTTACATTATATATAAAGCACAGTACTGACACGTTACATTATATATAAAGCACAGTACAGACATGTTACACGTTACATGTTACATTATATATAAAGCACAGTACTGACACATTACACATTACATTATTTAGAAAGCACAGTATTGACACGTTACATTATATATAAAGCACAGTAGTGACACGTTACACGTTACATTATATATAAAGCACAGTACAGACATGTTACACGTTACATTATATATATAGCACAGAACTGACATGTTACATTATATATATAGCACAGAACTGACATGTTACATTATATATAAAGCACAGTACTGACACGTTACACGTTACATTATATATAAAGCTCAGTACAGACATGTTACACGTTACATGTTACATTATATATAAAGCACAGTACTGACACATTACACATTACATTATTTAGAAAGCACAGTATTGACACGTTACATTATATATAAAGCACAGTACAGACATGTTACATGTTACATTATATATAAAGCACAGTACAGACATGTTACACGTTACATGTTACATTATATATAAAGCACAGTACTGACACATTACACATTACATTATTTAGAAAGCACAGTATTGACACATTACATTATATATAAAGCACAGTACTGACACATTACACATTACATTATTTAGAAAGCACAGTACTGACACGTTACATGTTACATTATATATAAAGCACAGTACAGACATGTTACACGTTACATTATATATATAGCACAGAACTGACATGTTACATTATATATAAAGCACAGTACTGACACGTTACACGTTACATTATATATAAAGCTCAGTACAGACATGTTACACGTTACACGTTACATTATATATAAAGCACAGTACTGACACATTACACATTACATTATTTAGAAAGCACAGTATTGACACGTTACATTATATATAAAGCACAGTACTGACACGTTACATGTTACATTATATATAAAGCACAGTACAGACATGTTGCACGTTACATTATATATAAAGCACAATACTGACATGTTACACAGCATTTTCATTGTGGTGCTATACAGTATTGACATCAAAAGTTACATTATATATAAAAGTACAGTACTGGATTAATGCTATTAATGCTACACGCTACATTATATATAAAGTATTGTACAGACATGCCGGCGCACGTAAGTTACATTATATATATAGCATAGAACTGACATGTTATATTATATATAAAGCACAGTACTGACATCGCTACATTATATATAAAGTATTGTGTACAGATATGTTACACGCTACATGTTACATTATATATAAAGTACAGTACTGGACACATTACATTACTACATTATTTAGAAAGTACAGTATGATATATGAGAGAAAGTACAGAACTGATATGTTACATTATATATATAGTAATGAACTCGATATGTTGGCATTATGGCAAAGGCCAGTACTGGCGTATCGCTATATGTAAGCCATATATTTATATATAAAGCACAGTACTGACACGTTACATGTTACATTATATATAAAGCACAGTACTGACACATTACACATTACATTATTTAGAAAGCACAGTATTGACACGTTACATTATATATAAAGCACAGTACTGACACGTTACATGTTACATTATATATAAAGCACAGTACTGACACATTACACATTACATTATTTAGAAAGCACAGTATTGACACGTTACATTATATATAAAGCACAGTAGTGACACGTTACACGTTACACGTTACATTATATATAAAGCACAGTACAGACATGTTACACGTTACATTATATATATATAGCACAGAACTGACATGTTACATTATATATATAGCACAGAACTGACATGTTACATTATATATAAAGCACAGTACTGACACGTTACACGTTACATTATATATAAAGCTCAGTACAGACATGTTACACGTTACACGTTACATTATATATAAAGCACAGTACTGACACATTACATTATTTAGAAAGCACAGTATTGACACGTTACATTATATATAAAGCACAGTACTGACACGTTACATGTTACATTATATATAAAGCACAGTACTGACACGTTACATTATATATAAAGCTCAGTACAGACATGTTACACGTTACATGTTACATTATATATAAAGCACAGTACTGACACATTACACATTACATTATTTAGAAAGCACAGTATTGACACGTTACATTATATATAAAGCACAGTACTGACATGTTACACGTTACATGTTACATTATATATAAAGCACAGTACTGACATGTTACACGTTACATGTTACATTATATATAAAGCACAGTACTGACACATTACACATTACATTATTTAGAAAGCACAGTATTGACACGTTACATTATATATAAAGCACAGTACTGACACGTTACATGTTACATTATATATAAAGCACAGTACAGACATGTTACACGTTACATTATATATAAAGCACAATACTGACATGTTACACGTTACATTATATATAAAGCACAATACTGACATGTTACACGTTACATTATATATAAAGCACAATACTGACATGTTACACGTTACATTATATGTAAAGCACAATACTGACATGTTACACGTTACATTATATATAAAGCACAGTACAGACATGTTACACGTTACATGTTACATTATATATAAAGCACAGTACTGACTATGGACTCACTACACTTTATATTATATTTAAATCACAGGCACCTGTTTATGAAAGAAGAAATTTCAAACAATGATGCATTTATAATTTAAATGATTATTTTTACTGTTACCATGGTATGGAAATTCAGATGGAGATAAGACCATGTATATTGTATAATGAGATATGGTACTATAATGTTATAATTTTTATTTACCCCCTTAAGGACACATGACGGAAATATTCCGTCATGATTCCATTTTATTTCTGAAACTATGTCCTTAAGGGGTTAATATATATGTTTTCTTTTTCAGATATTATATTCCTGTACGTATTCTGCATAAATGATTAATTACACAAAATAACAAAAATAATGTATTTCTCTTGCAATATGCAATTGCTATTTTTTATTGAAATATATAGTTATAGAAGGCTAAATATGTTTTTAAAGCTGAAATTATGTCAATGTGAAAACACAATGTGTATTTTTTAAACATTTTATAAGAATGTAACTTGTAGTTGTTCAGCAAGTTCACTTTAAAAATGTGTTTGTTGCATTACTTATAACTTTTTGTTATATTTGAATTTGTAAGCAAAGAAAAATTCCAATCCATAGTTTATACTGTAAACTTACAATAAACCCTCACTGCTAATGCGATAGCGCTGAGTGTGGCTTTATTTCAGGAGTCTTAAATGGCCTGACAGCTAAATATAGGTGTTGTTCTCTGCGGAGTCATGAGACATGATAGCGCTGACTGCGTGATAGCTTGACGCTGGTCAATATGGCGGCATGGTTTGTATCCCTTTATCTGATTGTGTCACTGGGAAGCAAGGCATGTCTGATATAGCGCATGTCTGTTATCTCCTAACTTAATAAATTCCAGGAAAACTGAAAGATGTAACAATGATGTATCCCATGCTCTCTCTTAATAAAATAAATCATTTATTTACCTGCTCTAAAACCCACAGTATTAATAAATGAACCCAAACGCCAATTCACATGGAATACAGCTACAATCACAATCCGTGTGTTCCTTATACTGTACGATACAGACCTGAGTCTAGATTGCTACGACAGGTAATTGGTTAAAAGCTGGTAACGCCATTCTAACTAACTGCGTACACTGTACCTTTTACTGCAAACAGGATTGCAGGATTGCCAGAACTGGATTGCCAACATATAATAAGGCATTTCCATATCCAGGACTGAAAAATAATATTCTAAATTATTGATCTTAATCTGCACTAGTTCTGTAGAAATGATTGCCAAACTATGAACATAAATTTAGTGTTCTATTAATATTACGTATATATACTATAGAATACATTGCTAACACTGAGAGTGGGTTTAGGAGGACATTAATGAAGCTTGTGAATACTTGGGGATCATGTTTTAATGTAGAAGCAGCCAGGGTAAGTAGATGGGTATTGGCTGTCATTGCCGAGATGAGACACAGAGGAAAAGAAGTGTATTAGTGAAGGAACTGTGTATAGGGTGCAGCTGTGGAGGTACCTTGTTTGGGGTGTAGCTGGGAAGGAACCTAGAAACATAGAATGTGACGGCAGATAAGAACCATTCGGCCCATCTAGTCTATCCAATTTTTTTTAAATACTTTCATTGTTCTCTTTTAGCTCCTATAGCCTTATGCCTATCCCATTCTTAAACTCCTTTACTGTGTTAACCTCTACCACTTCAGCTAGAAGGCTATTCCATGCAGCCACTACCCTCTCAGTAAAGTAATACTTCCTGATATTATTTTTAAACATTTAAGACTATGTCCTCTTGTTGTGGTAGTTTTTCTTCTTTTAAATATAGTCTCCTCCTTTACTGTGTTGATTCCCTTTATATATTTAAATGTTTCTATCATATCCCCACTGTCTCGTCTTTCCTCCAAGCTATACATGTTAAGATCCTTTAACCTTTCCTGGTAAGTTTTATCCCGCAATCCATGAACCAGTTTAGTAACCCTTCTCTGAACCCTCTCTAAGGTATCAATATCCTTCTGAAGATACGGTCTCCAGTACTGTGTACAATACTCCAAGTGAGGTCTCACCAGTGTTCTGTACAATGGCATGAGCACTTCCCTCTTTCTACTGCTAATACCTCTCCCTATACAACCAAGCATTCTGCTAGCATTTCCTGCTGCTCTATTACATTGTCTGCCGACCTTTAAGTCATCAGAAATAATCACCCCTTAATCCCTTTCCTCAGATGTTGAGGTTAGGACTCTATCAAATATTCTGTACTCTGCCCTTGGGCACTGCCTTACCCATTCAACAATATTGGAATACAAACTTAAAGATTGCAGTTTATTGATAAGCCTTCTATGTGTAACAGTGTCAAAAGCCTTACTGAAATCTAGGTAAGCAATGTCTACTGCACCACCCTGATCTATAATTTTAGTTACCCAATCAAAAAAATCAATAAGATTAGTTTGGCATGATCTCCCTGAAGTAAACCCATGTTGTCTTGATCTTGAAATCCTTGTATAGGTTGTAGCTATTGAGGAACCTTGTATGAGTTGAAGCTGTGTGACTATAATATTAAAGTCTAGATAGCAGTACAAAGATGCGCTTACCTTCTGTCTGTGCCCCAGGGTATGAGTTCCTTTGGGATTCTGGGACATTCAGGTGAAGTTTGGCATAGATAACACGCCTTTCCATTCTTCCTCTCCAACAAATGAACTGAGAACCCTATAAAAATTATAGAGAGACTGATATGAGACTCAGAAGTAAACGTTTCAGGCCACTCAGCGTGGTTGGAAAAACAGTAATGTGAAGAAGGCGGTTTTCAATGCATAAACTCAGATGAAATGGCCAATAATATACAAGAGATAAAATGCAAACACATAAATCAAGTTAAACCCTCTAATCACCTAAGACTAAGAAACCAAAATAGAAAAGGATTTCTGAGCAAATGTAATCAATGTATCTAGGTTAGAAGTGAGTGAGGGAGGGAGAGACACGTGGTTAGAGACAGGGAATTGGGAGATGACTGGGGAGACAAGTGGGAGGACGAGGGAATGAGGCCACCTAAGGGACCACTCATTAGTTACTTCCCTTGCGGTTTCGCAATTATGTTACAAGTGTGAACGTTCTGATTAAATAGCGGGAACGTTCTAATGGGGCACTGGGACAGTCCCCGTTCGGGAGACAAATGGGGTCCATTCGTATGAATGCTCCCGAGCGGGGAAACAGGCATAAAATATGAAAAATTAGGGGAAACATAGTAACACATAAGGGGAAGCACAGTACTTCAAAGGAAGACACACGAAAGAATGGGATTCTGCATACAGGTACCAGGCAGTTTCGTCACACCTGCATTCACACACAAAGCCATGTATATTCACACAGATGGACACTCCACACTATGATCAGGTTAGGCTGGAAGCTCTGTAAAAATATGTTGGATCAGTAATTAGCAAATAAAGCTCGGTTTTTATAATATCTGGGGCAGTTGGGGTGATTTTAGGTACAAAGACAATATAAGCTGATCAAATCATGAAAAAATAGAAAGATTATACCCATAGGCCCCTTGTATCAATTCAATAAAACAATGAAAGGTCTACATATGTTATGTATCTCTAATATTTCAACATCCCATAATATAGAAATGTCCATCAAGAAATAGACAGATCCGAGGACGAAATCCACAATGTCCTTAATGTATGATTGGCTATTGTCTGCTGTGGGATAACTAACTAGTTCCAGGGTAACCTCTCAGACCCAGATTTACTAATGACAGCTTTTATAGTGTAGTATAACTGGTGAATATTCAGCTGCCAAACGTAGAAACCATCCCGATATATCATTGCTAGAAGTATTATGGATGATATGTCGCTTTGCAGGAACATTCTGGATATTCACACCAGATTCCTTAATGTCATTTCTGCATTGACATACCTTTTGACCCATCTGTGGTTTCTTGGTTCGTCCAAGGTGCGTTACTTTGTCAGTTCAGTGATGGCTTGATAAAGGCTCCAGCATTGATCTGAAACATTGATCTACGTCTGATCTAATGAAAGTGCCTGGACCTTTTGTTTGGCTGTTTTGTTGTCGGGAGTGTTATGGTTTGTGGTTTGCTGCGGTTTGTGTGTGGTTTAATATAAGAACAGTGACTGAGTCACACCACACAAAAACAAAAGTTTTAGACTTTAGAAAAACAGACTTTTCTAAAATTAGAATATGTGTAGAGGAGTCATTATCAGACTGGAGCAATTTAAATGGAGTCCAAGAAAAATGGGATTATTTAAAAGTTGCACTATTGAAGGCAACAGAAAATTGCATTAGGCTTGTCAGTAAAAGCAAAAAATTCAAGAAACCACTGTGGTACTCCGCAGATATGGCCAAAATAGTTAAAAACAAAAAGTTAGCATTTAGGAATTATAAAAAAACCCAGAGTGAGGAAGACAAAATGATCTATAAGATTAGGCAGAAAGAGGCTAAGCAAGTTATAAGAGCTTCCAAATCACACACAGAAGAGAAAATAGCACAGTCAGTAAAAAAGGGGGATAAAACATTTTTTAGATACATAAATGAGAAAAGAAAAGTAAAACAAGGATTAGTTAGATTAAAAACAAAAGAAGGAAGGTATGTAGAAGAGGATAAAGGTCAGGCTGACTGCCTCAATGAATATTTTTGTTCTGTATTTACAGAAGAAAATGAAGGAAAGGGACCTCAGTTGAGAAAAAGGATAAATGAGTCATTTATTACACGTGAGTTTACAAAGGAAGAGGTTCTATTTCAACTGTCAAAAGTAAAGACAAATAAGTCAATGGGACCTGATGGAATACACCCAAAGCTATTAAAAGAGCTTAGTGGTGTACTAGCAAAACCATTAACAGATTTATTTAACCAATCATTGTTAACAGGAGTAGTCCCAGAAGATTGGAAGTTAGCGAATGTTGTGCCCATTTACAAGAAAGGTAATAGGGAGGAGTCGGGCAACTATAGGCCAGTAAGCCTTACTTCAGTAGTGGGGAAAGTGATGGAAACCATGTTAAAGGATAGGATTGATGAACATCTAAAACACATGGATTTCAAGATCAGAGACAACATGGGTTTACTTCAGGGAGATCATGCCAAACTAATCTTATTGATTTTTTTGATTGGGTAACTAAAATTATAGATCAGGGTGGTGCAGTAGACATTGCTTACCTAGATTTCAGTAAGGCTTTTGACACTGTTGCACATAGAAGGCTTATCAATAAACTGCAATCTTTAAGTTTGGATTCAAATATTGTTGAATGGGTAAGGCAGTGGCTGAGTGACAGGCAACAGAGGGTTGTAGTTAATGGAATATATTCGAAGCTTGGACTTGTCACCAGTGGGGTACCTCAGGGATCTGTACTTGGACCCATTCTCTTTAATATTTTATTAGTGATATTGCAGAAGGTCTTGATGGTAAGGTATGTCTTTTTGCTGATGATACTAAGATATGTAACAGGGTTGATGTTCCAGGAGTGATAAGCCAAATGACAAATGATTTAGGTAAACTAGAAAAATGGTCAGAATTGTGGCAACTGACATTTAATGTGGATAAGTGCAAGATAATGCATCTTGGACGTAAAAACCCAAGGGCAGAGTACAGAATATTTGATAGAGTCCTAACCTCAACATATGAGGAAAGGGATTTAGGGGTGATTATTTCTGATGACTTAAAGGTAGGCAGACAATGTAATAGAGCAGCAGGAAATGCTAGCAGAATGCTTGGTTGTATAGGGAGAGGTATTAGCAGTAGAAAGAGGGAAGTGCTCATGCCATTGTACAGAACACTGGTGAGACCTCACTTGGAGTATTGTACACAGTACTGGAGACCGTATCTTCAGAAGGATATTGATACCTTAGAGAGGGTTCAGAGAAGGGCTACTAAACTGGTTCATGGATTGCGGGATAAAACTTACCAGGAAAGGTTAAAGGATCTTAACATGTATAGCTTGGAGGAAAGACGAGACAGGGGGGATATGATAGAAACATTTAAATATATAAAGGGAATCAACACAGTAAAGGAGGAGACTATATTTAAAAGAAGAAAAACTACCACAACAAGAGGACATAGTCTTAAATTAGAGGGACAAAGGTTTAAAAATAATATCAGGAAGTATTACTTTACTGAGAGGGTAGTGGATGCATGGAATAGCCTTCCAGCTGAAGTGGTAGAGGTTAACACAGTAAAGGAGTTTAAGCATGCGTGGGATAGGCATAAGGCTATCCTAACTATAAGATAAGGCTAGGGACTAATGAAAGTATTTAGAAAATTGGGCAGACTAGATGGGCCGAATGGTTCTTATCTGCCGTCACATTCTATGTTTCTATGTTTCTATTATAATGAATAGATGCTGTCCTATTGCAGTTCACTGAGCTTGTTCTTATTAACCATGTTTTGTAGGACTCCTTCATTCTTGTGATTCAGTACTCCTTGACCTGTTTGTTGCAGATTACTGTATAGCCGTCTCACCTATCTATAGGCACCAAACACACCAGTAGATACAGCTTCTTCATACTACCTCACAGTGAATGAATCCAGGCAATAATCTAACTTAGAGCAGAATTATGCCAACCAATTGGAGATCACTTGGTCATATCTCAAACAATGAGAAATTTTCCTATGCTTTGCAGTAGTTATGTTTTGGGAAGCCAATAAAGGGGCTTGCCTCGCTAGGAGCGCTCATTCTGTGGCAAACACTTCATGGGTAAAAATGCATACATTTTTATTGTGCTGCAATTTTGATGTATTTTCTGTGGTTTTTTTTTTTGTTTTGTTTTTTTTTTTTTAGACCGGGCCTTTAACTTTCTTTTTTGGTGTAAGATGTTATGGATTTTGATTTGGCCTTTATTGGGAAGGAAAAATAGAAAAATTAGCAGAAATAAGACTTCTGATGGTCAGTATAATTATCTAACCTTTTTAGGCTAATTGACCCCCTCCTCACTATTGTTGGGTTAAGGTTAGGTAGATGTAAAATAACTACTACTATGGGATGAAGGAGCAGGTTCCGATACATTACACAAGAGGCAGACTTCCTGTTCCACTGCAACAGATTAACAGTGTCATATTCTTTATATTTTTACATTTTATTGTAATGGTGTTATCTTATACTATATTAATCTACAATAATAAAACCCAATTCATAAAACATTTCTGTATCTTAAAACACGTTGTTGCCAATGTTATGTCCTCCACCATTTCCTCAATATTGTATTGAGAAATATTACCACTATGTTTAACACAGGCAGGGTTAATTACTAAAGTCTAATTGACAGAAATCAACAGGCCTGAATTTCAGCTGGATTTCAGCTGGTCCGAACACCGCTGAATGCTTCAAACCAGTGGCAGCAGTCAAGTTGTTAATAAGACTTAGTGGTGCTAGAGTTAGTTACGTGGCAACTGGACAGAGCTAAAAATGAATCTATAAATAACTCCATCGGGGTCAATAAGACCCCACTATATTACTATAAGGGGATGTTTTACCTCATATTGCCCCCACCTGTCATGCAGCAGGTGGGTACATACCTATCATATTTGGAGATGGGGTTTGTGAAATAACTGAATGGGCACATAGCATCGAGTGAAGGAAATTAAATAATATTATCGGGTAGATAGATCATTGTACCCTATCTGCTCCCACCCATGGACAGTGAGTGGGGGGACTTAACTATAATATTAAAGAGGGAGGACTTAGTGTCCTACCCCAGCCTCCACTCACTAATGATGAGAGGAGGTCCACATTATAATATGCATGGGGCACATCATTTATTTTTAATGGGGAAACCCATAGCCACTCATAGGAAAGGAAGTTGGACCTGCCAATTTTTGGAGGTGGACAATAGCATATCCACCTTCCCCATTATTTAATTAATAAGACCCCACAGTCCATGCCTGTAGACCGTGGAGAACAGTAGGTCCCCCTTGAATACAATAATTTGGGCCCCCACCTGCCACCAATCCAGGGGAAAGATTGTTAAACTCCCCAGCCGCTTACTTCACAAGCTCCATGCGTTGTTTTTTTTACAGCTAGTTCTAAACGTATAGTAGACATGCCATGACAGGTCCTCCCTTATAGTAAAAGGGGGTCTTATTGACCCCACAGAAATTTTTTATTATTTAACCAGCCGCCATACAATTAACCCTCACATTGCCGAGGATTATTTTACCATTTGCTCGCTGGCTGCTAGCGTTGCCATTGCGAAAATAATATTTAGACTGATCGTTCATTTCCATAAAAGCAAGTGTTCGATAATTTATGATTGGGAAACCTTTTTGATGCATTCTGCCCCTATTCAGGTTAAAATTGGTGCTCTGTTAATCCTCTGAATCCTGTACAAAGAATAGCATTCGGAATGCAGCAATACCAATTTTATAACACAGCACAGAAAAAACAACCAATCAGAATAAAGTTAGGTACTATAAAACTCCCCTCCCCTTACATCATTTCCTCTCTCTTTGCTGCTCCACAGTCAGTACAGGTAAGAGTACCACTGCCTCCTGCTATTAGTTGGTGGCTTTGGGATTTTATTATATTACTGTTTAACTTTATTAATTATTTGGGGACTCCTTGGTATTAGTAATTTAGGCTCTCTGCCTTATTCCCTCTGGGGTTGTGGGGAGTTTTGATTCCTTCCACTATATTTATTCCTATCCTCTGGGGTCCCCCCATCCTCCGTTCTGTTTCTGTCCCCTTTTTGTTCCCTTTTTGTGCCCGCTTCTCTGATCGTGCGGGTATTGTTCCGCTCAGGGGTTTCAGAAGGTCGGCCTGTTCTGCCTCCTCCGAGCCCCGGGATGTGGAGTACAACTCCAGCGGTCCCGTGTGTGCTTCCTTCTCCGGTCGTGGGGTGCTCGCGAACGAGCGCTCTACCTGCCGACCAGAGCTTTTACACATGGCCGCCTACCGCGGCCGGCTTGCATCATGGACCGCGTGTGTCCGCCGGGTGGAGGAGGGAGCGCTAATGCACGTTCCCTTCCCCCGCCCGTTAGACTGATTCTGGGATGCAGTTCGCTTTCTACTTTCCCCAAGGGGGGAAACTAAGACCTACTGGAGACCGCGGCCTGGGGCCTACCTTCTATCTGGCGGTCTGGGATCAGTCCCTTCTCCCCTGCATTGAACCCTCCTGGTTAACTCAGCACACATATGGATTATACAGGAGGTTACTTATCTAGTGTGATTGTATATCAATGTTCCTGCATCACTATTTCTATATTGCATGGGAAATTTAACACTACATTTTTTACACCTGTCATATATGAGACTTACATAAAGATTTAAATACAATATCCTTTCAGTAAGTGAAAACTGGTTTATTCACTAAACATTGCATTTTGGTGTCTGAAACAATGCAAATTCTCACACTTGGCTGTCATAAATTAACAGCTTGGTCTTTCAATTTTATTGAGTGTTTTGCTTTTCTGTGCTTGTTTTTCCTTTCGTGTTTTAAACAAGCAGTAACAGATATCACTGTTTTTTACACTGATCATGTTACATACAAACGTGTTGTGACAGTTTTTTCATGTGACCATATCAGACTGTATATGTTTTCCTTGACCCTGCATCAGATTTTACCCAAACCAGTCACCATAACACCCCTTTCTAAGGTATAATGCTGAAGAAACTAGGTTGGGATGCAGTTTGGGTACTGCTTTATCTGTTCTACACTGGGATTTTTACAGCATGGACGGCCCAGTGACCAGTGGCTGCAGGGCATTTGGGGGACTGCCAGAATTCCTATTTTAGTGCCCTTAGCACAATTTCTCACTACCATGATGATTTAGTATTTCAAGTGGCTTGTGCATCTAATTACCCCAAGATTCTCTATATAGAAAGGGGGCTCTACACACGCAGATTGCTGCTGGCAGAACACACCTCCTGTGAGTGGCCGGCTCTGTCTGTGCCCATTGTCTGGCCTGCTAGGTCTGTGCTACCTTGAAGGGCCTGCTAGGTCTGTGCCCCATTGACTGGCCTGCTAGGTCTATGCCCCATTGATTGGCCTGCTAGGTCTGTGCCCCATTGACTGGCCTGCTAGGTCTGTGCCCCATTCACTGGCCTGCTGCGTCTGTGCCCATTGGATTGGCCTGCTCTGGTGGTGCCCGAACCCCCTCTTTGCCATAGGCCTGGGAGATTATACTGAGGAAAGCCCAATACCCACTATTGACACGGCTGCCATATGCCCTGAGGTGACACAGTATACATGCACATTATATGATTGAAAGGGTGAAGGCACTAAACCTCATGCCCTGAGGACGAGATTTCTACTAAGATCCCCGGGCGGGCAGCCACAGTTTGCTCCAGCCCGGCGGTGGCACATCTCCACAGAGAGTTCTGTTCTGATGCACATGTAGGGACCAGTGCTCAGACATCAACAGGGGTTCTAGGTAATCCCTTACTTTTAGCTACTATCCTTTAGCTGCATGTCCGGTATTCATTTTGGGTCTGGGCCCTTTCAGTCAGGTTTTCCGGTCTTTTACTTCCTACCCATTAATTTTCCCAAGGTATGTATTTTCCTTTCTCGTATGCTTTGGTTTGTTATTTCTCTGTTTTTTCTGGTCTTCTCATATCCTATCACTCGGGTCATCGAGAGGCCAGACTTGTGGATCGTGGAGAACGTCTCCAGCATTCCCCAGACTACCGGCAGTCATCTTGGATCCCGCACGCGTGGGATCAGGGCAGTCCCTTGGTAGATTCAATCATTTTTCCTGCTGTTACATTCTCTCAGCATCCCCTTTTCAATTGTGGAAATGGGCACGACCTGAGGTTAAATACTACTCTGTATACTATCGGTCTGGTTTATTCCCAGTTCGATCCCGCCTCTCAGGGAATGATTCAGGGAGAGATCTCATGGCCAGAGAGGGACCCCACCTCAGGACCTTAGTCCTAAACTGATAATGCAGTCGCCCAGCCCGAGATGGGCCCTAGTTTGGATTACAAGAGGGTGCGGCCCTCCATCACATCGGCCCCATTCACTGATATTTTGTTTACACGTGTAGAGAGCGAACCCCTCTCATATACTGAATAGACAATGAGTCATTATTAGAGGGCGCAGCCCTCCCTCAACCTCAGTACGATACTGAGAGGGATACAGGGAACATGTGTTGAGTGTGACCTACTCTCATAGACAGAACTGGACACAGATGTAGACAGTAAATTTAGTTTTTAATGGGTACGGCCTGCTCATGCTACCAGCCTGATGCTGACATGGAGTTCGGTTAAATTATTAGAGAATGCGGCTCTCTCATACACTCAACACACTACGGTGCCGTCCATTTGTTCATCACACAGGTTTGTACCTGTACAGGACAATGAGTACGGCATAGAGGGGCGTCCCTCCTGCATTCAATTCAACCACTGGAGTATTGCTCAGGATGTGTGGCAGGCTCATATATGGCTGCCGACGTCCTCAAACTAGACAACCCCTGCTTCGGACGGTTGAAGCTAGACCCTTGCTTTCGCTATATCACCTGTCGTGAGTGAAGGGACTTTACGTCTTGCCTGCGTGTTAGAGAACGCTATGAGTTTGCAGGACTCCAGACTAAGAAGGGAGGTATTCCTCTATAGGGAGGCCTTGACTTCGTTTCCCTAACTCACATTCCTGGAGCCCTTGGCCTAGGGCCTACTCTTGGAGATACGTGCCCGGACAGTCAGGGGTACAGGGACCTAAAGGTCTCAATATATTATCCTGTAGGTGACGTGCAGCCCAGGAGCTCCGACACATTCTGAATTTACAGCCATGATCTATGTACAAGTGTCCAATCTAGCATTTAATAGTTAATAAAATAATAGCGAAAAAACATGAAATTCTGAGTTTTACAACCATGATCTAGGTTGCACATTTATGTATGCAAAACCCAAGTTCAACATAATCACGTGATTTATAAAGCAGGACAGGAGATATTTTTCACGGGTGAATACATACCTATTTGTTTAATATATTTACTTCGGCTCAGTCATATCACCAGTCATTGACAGGTCGGGCATGGAACAGGATCATACAAACAAGTAATCAGATTATTTCACTTTCTCACTACAGCACGTTATACAGGCCCCAATTACCATTGGATCTGACCACTTATCACTCTTCAACGATGATATATCTGGATGAAAATCTCAACCCCTGTTTACGTTCCTTCTCTACCGTAGTCGCGGGTCCATTTGGAGTACTGGAATCACTTAGGATAAGGCTATGACCGCACTCTTGCCTGCATAATAAATTCATTCACGGATGAGACCACTCACCCGGTAGGTCATGAGGGAACGAAAAGACCCTACTCGGTTCTGCTACGGAATTTGTGGTAGACTTAGGCGCATTTCTTGAGGTTGGAAATTTGCCTGCAAGGCCACATCATCGGGTGACCCTGGCTTGATAGGAGGAACCGTCTTCCACATCAAGAGTCGAAACCTGGTGGCAGTTGCTTCTCGTGGCCCTAAGTCCGCAAATGACCTTTGGGATTTTACACCGACAGGAGAATGGCTAATAGGTCAGCTTGGCAGCTCATGGACCAGCTACTAGGAAACAGGTCGCAACCCACGTACAATGGATCTAACAGTGGATGGTGTTTTCCCGTATTTGGGGTGCCTCAACAGCTGGCATCTCCATCGATCCATCTACTGTCAATTCTCACAGTTGGAAGGTCCATTTAGGATTGCTCTAGTATCTCCTGGAATAGGTACCAGCGAAACAAACAGCGTTGGATTTGTGGACTTGTTCTTAAGTCTGTTTTTCATGCGTAGGGTTGGGATCTCTACATTTTAGGGTATTTTGATTGCTTCATTGGGTACCTACATGTTTGTTCAGAGTACATTTCATTGGCTAACCAACCTGTTTGATTCTGTTTTTCTCTCGTTTCAGCTTACAGTCCATCATCGCTATCTGGTTTGGCAGTTCCGCTTGGATGGTGGACATTGTTGTATTCATTGTATCTAGGACTTCGTTTCTTCCCAATTGTATTTTCTGCCTTCTGTTCTGTTTTGTCGCAGCTTGAAAGAGAAAATGATGTATGGGGAGGGGAGTTTTATAGTACCTAACTTTTTTCTGATTGGTTGTTTTTCTGTGCTGCTGTGGAGTTCTAGTAAGAGAGACTTACACAAATACTCGCCTCCGTTCATTAATAAAATTAAGATTACAGGTACACTAAAGCTAGCATAATCTACAATTCTAATCCGGACAACGAATGCATCTAGCCGATACCTGCAGATTCACTCAGACCAACCAAATTCCGTAATAATTGTTTTTCGTAAATGAGAGAATTACAAGCAGAGTTCTTGTCCTAATGGACAAAATCATCCGTGTTTATTGATTAACATGGAAAGTGAATCGTACAGTTAGAAGACAAAGAAGGGGGTAAAGAATAACAATAAGCAGAATAACTGCCATTTATTAGCAATATGTATTATTTGTTGCAGTATTTTGTTCCATAGTCTCCATATCTATTCCTTGATGTGACGAGACCAATCTCGCCACATTGCATTGGAGAAGCCTGGTTGCTCGCCTGCTGCCTTTGGACTATGGCCCCCTGTTAAAAGATCTTTTTTACCTGCAGAAAAGCTTCATTCGTGCTTTTCTGCCTGTGGTTCGGTAGATTCAATCTACCGAACAACCATACGAATGACTGGACCACCTGGGAGCTGGAGTGTGCCGGCAATTAACCTCCCTTAAGCTGCGGTTAACCGCAGCTTAATTGACGAATGCTGGGTGGCTGCCATTCGTATCCCGAACACGAGGTCGCGGCCATTTTAAACATACGAATGCACAGCGGTGTTCGCCCCTATTTTCATGGAACTAAAATCGGACACAGTTTTGCGCGAACACCGCTGAAGCCGCCGACCTCCCTTCTTGTTCGGTGGAAGTGCACGAACAGCCCGGTGTTCGGTAGTTTTGGTTGAATGTGTTATACCCCAGATAGGAATCCCATGGAGCCCATTCGTATGAAACTGACTGTAAAGACTTTGGCTCCATGGCGATTAAACTGTATTCGTGTGGTCTGAGCGCCATTCGCTTAATAATGTGCGCTCAGACCTGAGCTATCTGGGGATATGTTACATGTCTGTGTTTTATGTAATAAATGTTACTTTATGTATTTTAAAGTATAATACTGGTTTTGTATCCCCACATGTGTAATGGAGTTTTGCCTTTGTCTTGGGAGATAATTTAATTACTTCCCAATTATCTCCCAGGGCAGAGGGGAGGAAGCCAGGATGCATTGTGGGAATATATTGTGACTGTGTGTCCTATTTGTCTACTTGTCTGTCTTTTGTCACAGTCTCCCATTTGGTCCCCTAGGGGAGTGTCCACCAGGTGGGAGACCTGCATAAATACTGGGCAGGTAGCCCTCATTAAACAGACCACTGCTTGACCCTCAACACGGAGCTCTGTCTCGTCTTTGGGGGGATTTACTGTATGCTGCTAAGGACTGATTGCCAGGAGTGTAAGCCGCTTGGGAGCTTTTCCTGTTCGTCTGGTAGCAGCAATTCGTATGGTTCCTGTTTGTGTATTTGGAGTGCTACCTTATTCCCTTGTATGCCGTTCGGGAGTTTGGAGCATTCACTTGTATGCAGTTCGATTGGAGCATTCACTTGTATGCAGTTCGAGTGTTTGGACCATTCCCTTGTATGCAGTTCGAGTGTTTGGAGCATTCCCTTGTATGCCGTTCGGGAGTTTGGAGCATTCACTTGTATTCAATTCGTGAGTTTTGGTGATTCTACAGTAGCTGTGCCTGTCTCTGAAAGGGGATTATCGTCTAAGCGTTTTTTTTTTCCTTTTGTGCAAAATGGTCCGTTACACTTGATGGTTTCTGTTTGATGATTTGAAGTTGTGAGATTCTGGACGGATGGTCTGTGGTTTTTATGCAAATTGTAGAGGAGCATTGACTTTATTAGTGAAATACATTCCTTACTGGGGTTCTGATGGTATTAACTTCATTAAAACAAATCATTTCTGCTCTTTCATTATTTTGTAACAAGATAATGTTCTACAAACAGGGCTGCCATCAGGGGGTGACAACCATGAGGGCCGTCCGGGCCCACATGGAGCGGCGAAACTGCCGCAGGTGCATCTGCACCGGGGTCAATCAGGTGGCCGAGCATTTAGGGCCACCTGATGGGCCCTACATCTTCAGGGGGCCGGTCAGCACTGCGGCCGCGTAATAGCGCGACCGGGCCCCTTTAAAAAAAAATTGCGGCTACACCGCAAGTGCTGCTGGGAGGAAGTGACGGGGGGTGACTTCCTCCCAGCTTACTCCGCGCAAGGGGAGAGCGGAGAAGAGGGAGAGCGGAGGACACCAGAGGCATCCACTCCCATCATCCCCAGCCACCCTCCTGCAACTTAAAGGTAAAACCAAGGGAGTACCCTCACTACAACTTACCTGTCCAAAGCACTGGATTATCTTTCCAGGAAATTAATATCATCATGGCAGGCATCAATGGATTCCCTGCACAAAGACGTTAAAGATCTCGGCCAACGAACAGCGCATACGGAATCCAAAATGGAGGAATTTACCTCCGCACACAATGACCTAGCAGACCATGTGGAAGAATTGGAGGCAAAATTAGACCGAACAGAAACGAAACTTGCAGATTTGGAGGACCGAGCATGACGAAACAACATCCGCATTAGGGGGATACCCGAGACATCACAACAGCAGACCTACCAGCCTATATCCAAGGCCTACTCCATACCTACGTGCCTGATATCCCTGCTGACATGCTGTTCATAGACCGCATGCACCAAGTACCACGGCCCAAACACATAGAAACATAGAAACATAGAATGTGACGGCAGATAAGAACCATTCGGCCCATCTAGTCTGCCCAATTTTCTAAATACTTTCATTAGTCCCTAGCCTTATCTTATAGTTAGGATAGCCTTATGCCTATCCCACGCATGCTTAAACTCCTTTACTGTGTTAACCTCTACCACTTCAGCTGGAAGGCTATTCCATGCATCCACTACCCTCTCAGTAAAGTAATACTTCCTGATATTATTTTTAAACCTTTGTCCCTCTAATTTAAGACTATGTCCTCTTGTTGTGGTAGTTTCTTCTTTTAAATATAGTCTCCTCCTTTACTGTGTTGATTCCCTTTATATATTTAAATGTTTCTATCATATCCCCCCTGTCTCGTCTTTCCTCCAAGCTATACATGTTAAGATCCTTTAACCTTTCCTGGTAAGTTTTATCCAGCAATCCATGAACCAATTTAGTAGCCCTTCTCTGAACCCTCTCTAAGACATCAATATCCTTCTGAAGATACGGTCTCCAGTACTGCGTACAATACTCCAAGTGAGGTCTCACCAGTGTTCTGTACAATGGCATGAGCACTTCCCTCTTTCTACTGCTAATACCTCTCCCTATACAACCAAGCATTCTGCTAGCATTTCCTGCTGCTCTATTACATTGTCTGCCTACCTTTAAGTCATCTGAAATAATCACCCCTAAATCCCTTTCCTCATATGTTGAGGTTAGGACTCTATCAAATATTCTGTACTCTGCCCTTGGGTTTTTACGTCCAAGATGCATTATCTTGCACTTATCCACATTAAATGTCAGTTGCCACAATTCTGACCATTTTTCTAGTTTACCTAAATCATTTGTCATTTGGCTTATCCCTCCTGGAACATCAACCCTGTTACATATCTTAGTATCATCAGCAAAAGACATACCTTACCATCAAGACCTTCTGCAATATCACTAATAAAAATATTAAAGAGAATGGGTCCAAGTACAGATCCCTGAGGTACCCACTGGTGACAAGTCCAAGCTTCAAATATATTCCATTAACTACAACCCTCTGTTGCCTGTCACTCAGCCACTGCCTTACCCATTCAACAATATTGGAATCCAAACTTAAAGATTGCAGTTTATTGATAAGCCTTCTATGTGCAACAGTGTCAAAGCCTTACTGAAATCTAGGTAAGCAATGTCTACTGCACCACCCTGATCTATAATTTTAGTTACCCAATCAAAAAAATCAATAAGATTAGTTTGGCATGATCTCCCTGAAGTAAACCCATGTTGTCTCTGATCTTGAAATCCATGTGTTTTAGATGTTCATCAATCCTATCCTTTAACATGGTTTCCATCACTTTCCCCACTACTGAAGTAAGGCTTACTGGCCTATAGTTGCCCGACTCCTCCCTATTACCTTTCTTGTAAATGGGCACAACATTCGCTAACTTCCAATCTTCTGGGACTACTCCTGTTAATGATTGGTTAAATAAATCTGTTAATGGTTTTGCTAGTACACCACTAAGCTCTTTTAATAGCTTTGGGTGTATTCCATCAGGTCCCATTGACTTATTTGTCTTAACTTTTGACAGTTGAAATAGAACCTCTTCCTCTGTATACTCACGTGTAATAAATGACTCATTTATCCTTTTTCTCAACTGAGGTCCCTTTCCTTCATTTTCTTCTGTAAATACAGAACAAAAATATTCATTGAGGCAGTCAGCCTGACCTTTATCCTCTTCTACATACCTTCCTTCTTTTGTTTTTAATCTAACTAATCCTTGTTTTACTTTTCTTTTCTCATTTATGTATCTAAAAAATGTTTTATCCCCCTTTTTTACTGACTGTGCTATTTTCTCTTCTGTGTGTGATTTGGAAGCTCTTATAACTTGCTTAGCCTCTTTCTGCTTAATCTTATAGATCATTTTGTCTCCCTCACTCTGGGTTTTTTTATAATTCCTAAATGCTAACTTTTTGTTTTTAACTATTTTGGCCACATCTGCGGAGTACCACAGTGGTTTCTTGAATTTTTTGCTTTTACTGACAAGCCTAATGCAATTTTCTGTTGCCTTCAATAGTGCAACTTTTAAATAATCCCATTTTTCTTGGACTCCATTTAAATTGCTCCAGTCTGATAATGACTCCTCTACCCATATTCTAATTTTAGAAAAGTATGTTTTTCTAAAGTCTAAAACTTTTGTTTGTGTGGTGTGATTCAGTCACTGTTCTTATATTAAACCACACTGACTGATGATCACTGGATCTTAAACTTTCACCTACAGTAATATCTGATACCAAATCTCCATTTGTTAACACTAAATCTAGTATGGCCTCTTTACGAGTTGGCTCCTCAACAACTTGTTTTAGAGACAATCCCAGTAGGGAGTTTAGAATATGTGTGCTCCTGGCACAAGTAGCTAATTTTGTTTTCCAATTTAAATCAGGAAGATTAAAGTCACCCATGATGATAACTTCCCCCTTCATTGTCATTTTAGCTATTTCCTCAATTAGTAGATTATCTAACTCTTCAATTTGTCCTGAGGGCCTATAAATCACACCTACACGAGTTACTGTGTGATTACCAAATTCTAACGTAGCCCAAACGGACTCTATGCTTGCCTCACTAACTTTTATTAGGCTAGATTTTATGCTATCCTTCACATACAAGGCCACCCCTCCCCCTTTCTTGCCTTCCCTATCTTTCCTATATAAAGAGTACCCTGGTATTGCTATGTCCCAGTCATTTTTCTTATTGTACCATGTCTCAGTAACAGCGACTAAATCTACACTATCAGTTGCCATTATTGCCACAAGTTCATGGATCTTATTCCCTAAACTGCAAGCATTTGTAGACATGACTCTAAGCTTATCATTTTTTAACACACTTGCTACAGGCACCTTCTGTCCTTGTTTTGGGGACAATTGGATTTATGTTTTATCACCATTTTGCCCCCCCCCCCCTCCTAGTTTAAATACATCCTAGCAAAACCTCTGAACTGCTCACTGAGAACATTTGTTCCCTTTTGAGAAAGATGTAAACCATCTTTTTTGTACAGTTTATTTCCATTCCAAACAGAGCTACCATGAGAAATAAAGCCAAATCCTTGCTCCCGACACCATTCACCAAGCCACAAATTAAAGTCCCTAATATGCATCCGCCTGTCGTTCTGAGTGTTATGCACAGGCAGAACTTCAGAGAATGACAGTGTGGAAGCAAAAACACTAAAAACTTCCTTAACCTCTGAAACCTCATTGCAAGCCAAGTCATTTGTCCCTAGATAGACAAGTACATCCAATTCCCCTTCCTGCTTTGCTTGCTTAACAATATTACAGATACGTCTCCTGTCTCTGTGAGCAGTAGCTCCGGGAAGACACCTCACAAGACCACCATTGTCCATCTCCACACCTCTTATAACGGAATCACCTACCAGACACGGTCTCCAGAGACACACTGATCAAAGTCCACTATTACCACATCAAGGAAATTATCCTCAGGGCCTGCAGGAATAAAACCAAGCCGCTTGAGAGCTACCCCACAGTGAAACTCTTCACCGACCTTTCAGCAGCGACACTCCGCAGGCGAAGAGACTTCTCCCAGATTACAGATATATTGAGAAACAACGGCATCCGCTACCACTGCGGTTTTCCAACGAAAGTCCTGGCAAACAAAGATGGAAAACTCATACCGTTACTCACCCCGGAAGATGGTCTCCGTAAGCTAAAATCCTGGGGCCTTGACAACTTACCTGATGACCAGGCAACAGGTGCACAACAGAGAATTAGACTGGACTGGTCCAGAGTCACAAAGAAACGCTGATAACATAGACTATCCTCCAAACTGCCTCCTGGTACCGCAAGTATCTCTCCCAAGCACCTTCAACTCAAAATATGCCCTCAGTTCTATCAGTTAATATTGATATGTTGTAACCCCCAATCAGACATGCACACAAAGCATCTATTTAATTGCTGACCTGTGCATAATGGGGCATTAACATACACCTTTATCGGTAATGATGATAAGACGTAACTCCCGAGCTAGTCTTACACATATCGCATCTGTTTACATGCTTATTTAGTAGACACTGTAGTACTAAAACATACCTGTATCGATTAAGGGTGAGGGATGCAATTCCCAAGTCAGACACCTACACAAAGTACCTGTTTTCTTTTGTATTTTTGTATATTTGTATATTTGACTACTATATGCCTAATGCGACACAAAAACCACATAACACGCACCTTGCCACCCCCATAAATCCCAGCAGGTGCAATACCACCTGTCACAGGAAGCAAGCAGGGAGAGCAAAAAAAAAAAAAGCACACAGCCCAACACGCATGATATGACTTTAGAATTCATTATTTCGGCTGAGATTGCTAAGATGTAATTCCCAATAAACAACCAAATAAAAACACAAGAGAGCGGACGAGGAAGGATAGCAAAATTGGAAGTCTCTAAACCAATTAGTTATGTCAATTTTAGTTATGTTAGAGTTTTCGTTGTTATTCTCTTTTTCTTTGTTTTATGCAAGCGTGCTAGATGCCACAAACTGAAGTAGGCTCAACAATTGACCCAAAGCACTTGTAAACATCTTACAAGAGCAAGGGAATCAGAAGCTGCCCAAAATCAGGACTGAAGGAGAAAGCCCATCGGGCGCACCTGTAATCAATCCCACCCACTGGCACCTTTCATATGCATGCCTAAAACCACGGCCAGAATAACTCTGTATGTCTATATATACCCAGGAGTACAATAGCTCACTAGCCACCCACAGGGACGAGCGTTCCTAACCCCGCGATGCACTCTAGTGGCATTGCATCCCTAACGGGAAACCACCCATTCACATTCCCCCACCCACACCCCCGGACTCAACCCTTCACACAATCCAAGTTTAACTTCCCTTTCCAACCATGGACACCAGTGCCCCCCAACACAATTCACCACCTTTCCCAGCAGACCAATGCCAAGAGTACAGAACTAGCATGCCATACACTTCGCCAAAAAAAGCAACAAGAACTAGCAATAAAGTCTATCACAGATAAAGTCCAGACAAACTACATGCCTGCTCAACCTAGAGATACCTTTGGTATCAAAGATTACCCAATACAATACAATACCATGCAACACACACATCGAAAGCTAGAGAGGTATTAATTTTGATACATAAATCGCAGACCTTCGAATTACTCAAACTAACAACAGACAACCAAGGACGGTACATAATACTATTATGCAACATAAACAACATTAAATATACCATAGCAAACGTATACAGCCCCAACACTAACCAGAGGAACTTTCTGCATAAAATACTCATGAAACTAGACCCCTTCAGGTCAACACAGCTCGTCAAATGGAATCACCTATCAGACACGGTCTCCAGAGACACACTGATCAAAGTCCACTATTACCAAGATAGAGACACAAGATAGAGACACAACAGCCGTACCACAGACACTCAGAAATAAAACGTTACACACGCAATGCACAGCCATCACTAAACTATTATCGGAATTTGAGGTATACGACGCATGGCGCACTCTACACCGGGGAGAAAAAACTTACACCCATTACTCTCCAGTACACAAGACACACTCTCGAATAGACCACGTCCTAATATCCGCCCCGACGCTATCCAAGACAGTAGACTGCCAAATAGGAGACATAGTGTGGTCAGACCACGCGCCGCTAACCCTACAACTGAGGGACACATTCCCCACCAGAGGATGAGCCCCTTGGAAACTAAATTAAGCATTACTAACTGATGATAACTTTAAAAGAGAGGTAGAAGAGGCCCTACAGACATACTTTATAGCCAACAATATGCCTGATAGCCCACCACTAACCCAATGGCTCACCCACAAGGCGGTAATAAGAGGCATATTTATAAGCCGTGCAGCATATGTAATGAAAACTTCTCAAGCTCAACTTCTATCACTATTAAGACAACTGAGAGATGCCACCACACAACACTTTCTCTCCCCGACCCCAACCCTGCAAACCACCATAAACCAAACACAAAAACTGATCAATGACTGGCATGTAAACAAAACGATGTACATACAACAGAAATTTAAGATAAGGGAATACGCTCAAGGCAACAAAGCTGGTAAATTATTGGCATCCAGAATTAGACAACAACTACAAAACCAAAAAATCCCATATTTCCTTCAGATGGTATGAAAATATACAACCCACAACATATAGCTGACGAATTAGCACAATATTACTCTACATTATATAACCTTAAACATGACGCAACCATTCACCGACCGACAACAGTAGAGATAAACAATTTCCTCTCGCAGGTGCACCTACCAACCCTCTCCCCAGACCAACAACAAACACTCCAAAACCCCATCACAATGGAGGAAATAACATCCACAATTGATGCACTACCGTCTGGCAAGGCCCCAGGACCCGACGGGCTCCCTAATTCTTACTACAAAATGTACTCCAGCACATTAAGCCACCCCCTAAATGCTGCGTTTCAAGCTATGTTAATATCAGGACAAACACCACAAGAAATGCTAATGGCGCACATCGCCACTCTGCCAAAACCAGGCAAACCCCCAGTAAAAGGCCAAAATCTTAGACCCATATCACTATTAAACATGGACATCAAGATTTTTGCAAAAATTTTT